GGTGTAGGGGTTCTCTTGGAGCCCTCTTGGGGCGGCTCGGGGGACTCTTGGACCGGTTTGAAACAATTTTGGACCGTCTTGGGGCGGCCAGCGTTCTCTGGCCTCTGTAGAAGCCATGCGGCGAGATTCGAAAACGCGCGGCGACGCTTGCGAATTCCGCATCTCTAGGGAGTGGGCCGTTAAGAGCACGTGCAGTATTCAACTCCAAGATTCGAAGGAACCCGAAAGCGGACGCTGCGTTGGCGCCGTGGTGGGGAGGGGCCGGCGCATTGGGGAGGGATGCACAAGGGATGCAGTCCGTTCTTGCATTTTTCGAGGTTTCTCGAGCCTCTTGTGGGGAGGCTTCTTGGAGGAGCCTTTTGGGAGCCTCCTGGGGGCCTCTTGGGAGCCTCTTGGAAGCCTCTTGGAGCTTCTTCGGGGCCTCTCTGGGGCCTCTTGGGGCCTGTCGGGTACGTCTTGGGCCGTTTGGGAGCGCTCGTACGCCGTCTGGCCCCTTCAGAGGCCATCTTGGAGGCATCTCGCCGTCGCCTTGGGGCTCTCTTGGGGTCCTCTTGGACCGTCTTGAGGGCCTCTTGGGCCGTCTTGGGGGCCTCTTTTGACCGTCTCGGACCCTTCTTGGGCCGTCTTTGGGGGCCTCTTGGGCCGTCTTGGGGCCTCTTGGAGGCTGCTTGGGCCGTCGCGGCCCTCGGAGGGCCTAAGAAACGAAAGCGCTAAAATCTATCAAAAACCACAGGAAATCATCGATTTTGGTTTCTGGGAGAGTTATTGGGGGTCCTCTTGGGGCGTTCTTGAGCCGTCTTGTGGGCCGCGTGGGCCCCCTTAGGGGCCATCTTTGGCAGTCCTGGGGCCGTCCAGGGCCGTTTTGGGGCCATGTTGAGGCCCTCGTTGAGTCCCAGGAGGCCCCGGAGTCCGATATCATAGATTTTCCATGCGTTTTTGTACGTTACTTCGCCCCACGGAGGGGGGGGGGGCAGTTTGGTACGGTCATGTGGCGCGGCTCCAGGGGGGGCGTAAGGGGGGGAGACATCAGAATGTAACACAGTGCAACATCTCCTAATTATGTAATAGTGGAATACATTGGATACGTTGCATTATCGCCTCCGCAGAAAACGCTGCCGCTCAGCACTTCATTTCCGGACGTGGATTCCTCTCGCTTCGCGGGGTGCACGTCCAGAGCACGTACAGTCACGTCGTCGCGGGGCCTCTTGGGAGACTCTCGGGGGCCTCCTGGAGGCCTCCTGGGAGTTTCTTTTGGCCTCTTGGGGACTTCTTTGGGGCCTTTCCCCCCCTCCCTCCTTTTTATACACCCTCCCCATCTTCCCTTCCAGCGCCGGCTCTAATCATGGGCGCCGCAGTGACCCACTTCCACCTGGCTGGCGCTGCGCCGCAGTTCACTCCAGTCACTGTGTGGTCTTTGGGGGGCTTTTTAGGGGCCTTTTGGAAGCTCCTGGGGGTCTTCTTGGAGGCCTCTTGGGGGCCTCTTGGGGCCTCTTGGGGGCGTCTTGGACCGTCTTGGGGCGCTTTTGCGCCTTTTCGCCCCTTCGGAGGATGTCTTGGGGGCCTCTCGCGGCCGCATTGGGGCCCTCTTGGGGTCCTCTTGGGCCGTCTTCGCGGCCTCTTGGGCCGTCTTGGGGGCCTCTTTGGGCCGTTTTGGGGCCCTCTTGGGCCGTCACGGGGCCCTCTTGGGTTTTTTTTTTGGGTTGTTCTGGGACGATTATGGAAGCTGCTTGGGCCGTCATGGATTCTTGAGAGTCGAAAAAAGGCGAGAACGTTTAAATATTGCAAAAACCAAAGGACAATCAATGATTTCGGCGTCTGGAGGCGCAGTTGTGGGCGCTCTTGGGGCCCTCTTGGGCCATCCTTGGGGCTTTTGGGGCCCTCTTGGGGCCGTCTTGGGGGCCTCATGGACCCCCGTTGGGGATATCTTGGGCCGTCTTGGGCCGTTTTGGGGCCATCTTGGGCCATCTTGAGGCCCTCTTGGAGTCCCCAGAAGCCCCAAGTGGCCGAACTTGTTGTTTTTGTTTATCGGTTTTTGTAGGTTTGGGGCCCCAGAGGGAGGGCCGATCATTTTGGTCCGTTCCTGTGGCGCGGCTCCCAGGGGGGGTTAGGGGGGAGGCATAATAATGCAACGCAGTGCAACGTATGGCAATTATGCAATCATTGGATACATTGGATACTCTGTGTCCCTCAATAGTTCTGGGGGTACCTGTAGTCCGGGGGGGTACCTATAGTCCGGGAGGGCGGTACTTGTAGTCGGGGGGGGGTACCTGTAGTCCGGGGGGGGTACTTGTAGTCCGGGGGGGGTGCCTGTAGTCCGGGGGGGGGATACCTGTAGTCCGGGGGGGGGCGCGCATGGGGGTACTTGTAGTCCCGGGGGGGGGGGCATATGGTCATGCCTCAAAGCACGCGTGGTTCCACGCACGCGGGTGTTTAGTACTTACGCGCGCGGGACCTCACGCGCATCGTTGCACACGACACGCCCGCACGCCTAAGTGAAAATGTGCGGACGCATCTTGGCGGGGGGGCTTGTAGTTCCGGGGGCTAGGGGGGTACCTATAGTCCGGGGTGGGGTACCTGTAGTCCGGGGGGGGGTACTTGTAGTCCGGGGGGGGTGCCTGTAGTCCGGGGGGGGTACCTGTAGTCCGGAGGGGGGTACCTGTAGTCCGGGGGAGGGGTACTTGTAGTCCGGGGGGTACCTGTAGTCCGGGGCCCCAAAACTATTGAGGAACACAGAATACGTTGCGTTAAGGCGTTCGCCGAAAAACGCTGCCGCTCAGCACGTCACCTCCGGTCGTGGGTTCATTGGCTTACGCCACACCGCCGACCCCTTGGCGCGGCAGCGATCGTCCCCTGCGTGGCCTGTCCGGACAGCCTGTGAGGCCCCTCTAGACACGTTTTGGAGCCCTCTTAGGACCGTCCTGCCGTTCCCCCGGGCCGTTGCTATGGTTTCTGGGGCCTTCGTGGGGCGCCCGGAGGCCGTCGTGGAGCGTTTTGGAGAGTCTCTTGGGGTGCCAGAGGTCGATCTTGGAGGTTTACTGGGCCGTTGTGGGCCTGGTGGAAGTCCAAGAAGCGAGCATGCTGAAAATGTATGTTTTCCCCAGGGAATGGGACCGGTTTTTGCTTCTGGAGGCCTGCTTGGAGCGCCTCGTGGTCGCGTACGCAAGCGTACGCTTGGACGCCCATGGGGCCGTCTGGAGGAAATCTTGGGCGGTTTGGACCGAATCGTCCCGTGCGCGGGCCGTCCGGACATCCTTTGGGAGCCCTCGTGGCCCGTTTTGGAGCCCTCTTGGGAGCGTCCTGCGGCTTTCGTGGGCCGTTGCTGTGGTTTCTGGAGCCTTCGCGGATCGCCCGGAAGCCGTCTTGGAGCCTTCTTGGGAGCCCCTTCGGGTGACAGGGGTCGATTTGGGAGGTTTATTGGGCCGTTGTGGGCTTCGTGAAAGCCCAAGAAGCAAGTGTGCTGGAAATGTACGTTTTACCTGGGGGATGGGACGGTGTTTGCTTCTGGAGGCCTTCTTGGAGCGCCTCGTGGTCGCGTTTTCAAACGTCTTGGACACCCATGGGGCCGTCTGGCGGCGATCTTGGGCGGTTTGGACCGAATCGTTCCCTGCGCGGGCCGTCCAGACAGCCTTCGGGGGCCCTCTTCTTGCCTCGTTTTGGAGCCCTCTTGGGACCGTCCTGCGGTTTTCCTAAGCCGTTGCTATGGCCTTCGTGGATCGCCCGGACGCCGTCTTGTAGCCTTTTTGGGAGCCTCTTGGGCTGGCGAGGGTCGATCTTGGAGGCTTCTTGGGCCGTTTTGCGCCGCGTGGAAGCCGAATGGGCGAATGTGGTGAAAATGCACGTTTTCCATAGGGAATGGGACGATTTTTGCTTCTGGAGGGCCTCTTTGGGGCGCCTCGTAATATTGTTTCAAACGTCGCGGGGACTGATGGAACCGTGTGGAGGCAATCTTCGGCGTTTTGGGGCGATCTTTCGTCGATTCGTAGCTCTCTTGGGCCGTTCCGGGACCCTTGGGACCTTTTCGGCACGTTTCGGGGGCCTCCTGAGGCCCCCCCCCCCTTCCAAACCGGCCGGACCAGGTCCCTGGGGGATGGGTTTGGGGAGGGGGAAGCATCTCACACGCCGTGACCCCAAGGGGTTGGCGGATTCTCCCTCTCCCTCCCCCCTGTCTCTTCGGCCTCGTCACTACGCCGAGGTTTGGGCAGAATCCGTTCAACATCGTCCCCCGGACCCCTCCTGAGGTCCGCCTTGACGATCTTGTCGAGCTGCGTACAGTTGTGGCCTTGGCGACGAGCGACGTCCCCGCACAGGAGAAGGATGAGGTGAAAGAGGGGGAGTCAATGAGGAACTGGAGGAGGAAGGGAAGGAGGAGGAGGAGGAGGAGGAGGAAGAACAGGAGGAACAGGGGGAGGAAGCGGAACGGGAGGAGGAAGAGGTATCCAAAGGCCAGAACTGGAGGAGGAAGGGAAGGAGGAGGAGGAGGAGGAGGAGGAGGAGGAGGAAGAAGAACAGGAGGAACAGGAGGAGGAAGCGGAGCAGGAGGAGGAAGAGGTATCCAAAGGCCAGAGCAAACCCAGGCGCCAAAAAGTCAGCGCGAGGGCACGAGCCTGGGTGGCCCAGCTCTCCCTCCCCGAGGGGGCCTGGAGGAGGAGGCAGAGGCTCGAAGGAGGAGGGAGCAGAGGAGGCCCGAGGAGGACGTGGATGAGGTCGTCTTCTTCCTCGTCTTCCTCTTACTCTTATTATTAGTACTATTACTATGAGTAGCAGTATTATTGTTCGTATGTTTCTTCATCTGTTAGTATTATCATTCGTGGCAGTCGTATTCTGATTAGTATTAATATGACTGTTGATACTAGTGTCAGTATTGTGATTAGCCTCAGTACTCGTATTGTTTGTGTCTTCTTCCTCCTCTTATTGTTCTGATTCGTCTTCTTCCTCTTCCTCCTCCTCCTCCTCCTCCTCCTCCTCTTCCTCCTCCTCCTCCTCCTCCTCCTCCTCCTCCTCCTCCTCCTCCTCCTCCTCCTCCCCCCCTTTCTTGACCCTCCTCCCTCCCCCCCCCCTCCGTCCCGGCCGAGCGCATGGCTCACGGCGCCCCCTGGGGAGGCCTCGGCCCTGGCGCGTCCGTGGCGGAGGCGGACACCACCGTCAGTGGCGGCCCGACCATGCCGCTGGGCATGCCGAGCACGATGGCGAGCAAGGACGTCGTAGCCGCCTCCTCCTCCTCCTCCTCCTGCTCCTACTCCACCTCCTCCTCCTCCTCCTCCTCCTCCTCCTTCTCCTCCTCCCCATCCTCCTCCTCCCTCTTCCTGCTCCTGCTCCTCCTCCTCCTCCTCCTCTCCTTCTCTCCTCCTCCTCCTCCTCCTCCTCCTCCTGTTCCGCCTCCTCCCGAGACGGGGGGGGGGGCCAAGAGGGGGTGATGACTGGGGGACAGGGGGGGGGGGGAGGACCTCTCGGCCAGGGCCGTGATGCCTCCCCTCTTCCTCCTTTGGCACGTCCCGTCCCCTGACCCCCCCCCCGGGGCCGCGCGCGTGCCTCGGGCCATGATCTGCGGCCCGTCCTCTTGGACGCCCCGCTCCTGGACGCCCCAGACCTCCACCGTTCGGAGCACGAGATCACGACTGCCGCCTGCTTTCGTCCCTCGCCTTCTCCCCCCCGATCCTCCTCAAGCTCCTCCTCAAGCTCCTCCTCCTCCTCCTCCTCCTCCTCCTCCTCCTCCTCCTTTTTCTTTCTCCTCATCCTCCTCCTCCTCCTCCCGCTCCTCCTCCTCCCGCTCTTGGACGCCCTGGACCTCCGGCGCTCGGACGGCAAGACCACGACTGCCGTCATCCTTTCCGTTTTGTTCCGGGCTCGGGCACCAGGAGGGCCAGCCTCGGGCCCCCTCGGGGGCCATCGAGATGGCAGTCGTCCACCTGTGGGCTCCCCACAACTCCGAACGGTGGGAAACCCCTAGGCTGCCAGATTCCCTCCGGGGCTCCTGGCGACCTGTGGGCCTCCCCCAGAATTCGCAGGCCTGGCGAGATGCAGCCAGAGCGTCCAGAGTCCAGAGGCACTCCGGGCTCGGATGGGGGCCTGCTGCTCCTCGGGCCCTATATTCCGCGGCGGCTCCTCCGGCGCTCCTCGTGCGGCCAGAGGCGCCCCCTCGGGGGGGACCTCACAAGCAGGGGCCTCGTGCGCTGCCTGGCGCTCCGCGGCGGCCTGGCTGTGCGACGCGCGGCCCACGCCCACCGGAAAGCACGGAGCCGTCGGAGGTCTGGGCCGCTGTCCTCGCTGCCCACTTCTCCCCCCTCTCTCCCCGCGCCTGCTCGTGGTAGCCCTTCCTCGCCTCCTCCTCCTCCTCCTCCTCCTCCTCCTCCTCCTCCTCCTCCTCCTCCTTCACCTCCTCCTCCCAATTTACCTCGAGAGCCTCCTCGCTCACTTCTCCTCGCCTCCCCCCCACGCCTCGCTTCCCCCCTTGCCGCCCCAACCGCATTCTTGTTCAAACACCCGGGGTCAAAGTGTCTCTCCAGGGCTCGGGCCCACCCGCCGTGCTCATGCCATAAGCTATATGGCCGTCCTTGTTTTACGATTTCCGGCTCCTCGCCTCGCCTCTCCATAATCGGGTGTTGCTAGAAGTACCCCTGGCCCAAGGCTCCCCCAGGATTCTCGGGGTGGCCCAGGCGGCCTCCAGGGCACCCCTCGCGAGGCCCAGAGGACCCCAGAGGCTCCAACATGGAGCGAGAAGCTGGGGCACCTTGGGCCCAGGGCACTTCAAGCAACACCCGACCGCAGGAGGCAGCGCTCTGGCAGGACAGGAGGCCGTCGGGAGGACCCTCTCCTCCGACGTTGCAACCTTTTCGTCGGGGCGTCGGCTCCAGGGGAGCTCGACCACTTCCCCAGGGCCAGACTTTCGTCCCGAGTGGTTCTTGACTGCCCAGGGACTGGGAAAAACGGCCTCCACAGGCCGAGAGAACTGTGGAAAAGACGGGCGCCGCTGCCGCTGTTGCGTCGCCCGGGTCTGAGGGCATCAGGCGGTGGGGGGGGGTGCAAGGGCACCATGGTCACCTCCCCTGCGCGCGCCTGCGATGTCCGTTTCTCCCTCGTGTGCACCAGCCCTGTGTTGTCGCTCCCTCTCTTTCTCCTCCCGTCTCCCCTCTGCCCCCTCCCGTTCCTCCTTCCTTCTCCACGTCGCGTGTCGGCGACCCTTCTGGCAAGGGGAACAAAAAGGACACCATGGTCACCTGGGGCATCGATGACGCCACCGCTGGCGCTGCTGCCCCGGCAGCCGCAAGGGCGCTGCGGCTGAGCCCGCAGGCGATTATCCGGGCGGCGGTGTTCGTTCAGGGCGCGTTCAGACGCTTCCGCGTGGAGGAATGCCAGCGGCTGGCGGGAATCAGGCCGACAGCACGCGTGAGGAGAAGGGCCTCTGGAAGAGAAGGAAAGCGAATCTCACAAACCTGTACAAATAGACACTCTCGAAGGTGTATGTTTGTTCGGGTGTGTAGGGTTCGGAGGTTCGTGCGGATTTCTCAGGCTGGCGCCAGAGCCCCCTGGCGGCCCCTCCGGCGCCGCCCCTGGCGCGCTCGGCGCGCCATCCAGGAAATCCGCGCGGAACTTCCAACGTTTTTATGCTTGTACTCCTGATTTCGTAATAAAAGGGAGGGGGTCTGGACCCTTCAAGACAAGCCATTTCAGACCTCCCCCGTGGGAGAACCCTCCAAAACATCGTCCCCAGACCCCCCAGGCCCTCCAAGATAGCCTGGAAGAGACCCCCCCCCGAAATGACCCCCCCCTCCCTCTATTGCGAAATCTGGAGTACCTGTGCTCGTTCTTCTAAGAGCCCGCGGACAGGGGGACCCTGGCAGAGAGGTGCCCTGGAGGCTTCCCTCGCCGTCTCCGGGCCCTCCCCGGGCTCCGAGGGCCAGCCAACAGGCGCCACATGTCGGGGGCGGAAAAGAGGGGGTGATACCTAGGGGGGGGCGGATATGATGGCGGGGGCCATGATATTTCCCGAGATTTCATGGCGCCTCTTCTTGTTTCATTACGTCCCTGGCCCCCCCGCTGGGCCGCGCACATGCCGCCGGCCATGATTTGCACCCCCCCCTCTTGGACACCCCCCTCTTGGCCGCTGCCGAATGCAGGATGCGGAAAGCTGGTTCCAGGGAAAGCGGTGTCCAGGACGCCGCTCTTTCCCTGGGGCCCAGAGTTCGCATCCATGGATCCAGACATCCGATATATTTTTCTGTTGCTGATGCGGGGCCCCCGGAAGTGCCGACCCTCATCCCGAGGGCGACCTCGTCCTCCCGGGCAGTTTTTGAGAGTCCCATGGGGCCCGGGGATGGCCCCCGCAGAGGTCGAAAACGGCGCCGCAGCTTCCCGCCGCGAGTTTTCTCCCAGGCGCGAGCACGTCTGGGAAAGGGGGCACCCTGGACTCCCAGGGTGGAGGCGGGCCCAGGCCCCGGACCCGTTCCCGCCACCCTGACCTTCCAGGAAGGTGAACTAGTAGCACCAGGGCCTCGACATCTTAACGCCTGTCGAGGTTGTAGCAGTCCAGATAGGTCTACGGGTCTGGAGGGTCACTTTTCAACACTCTGGGAGGTCAGGGCAGGGCCCCCCTCGTCCTCCCAAGAGGCCGGTGGAGCCCGCGCCCTCGGTGGCCGTGGCGCTCTTCTCGAGCAGGTCGCTGCGGAGGGCGCGCAGCCCGGAGGAGGTGCAGGCGGAGGCCGCCACGGTGGCGGCGGTGATCTGCGGGCGGGAGGCGCAGGGCGGGGCGCGTTGCTAATGCCTCCGCTTCGCTTCGCTTCGATGTCGAGCGCTTCCGATGCCGATGCGCTTCGACCGGGGGCTCCGATGCGGGCTGGGTGCCTTCCGACCGCCGCTCCGACTTTCAGGAGGGAAAGAAACACACAGACACGATTCATCGTCGATTCCTAGGGGAATATAGGAAAATATGGGAAGTGGGGGGGAAGACAAAAACCCAGAAAATACGGGAAAATATGGGGAATCCTTTTATTTGCGTGTATTTGTTTATTTGTGTGTCCCAGGGCCCCTTCAGACTCGTCGGTTCGCTGCCGGGCTCTCCCTGGAGGCGGGCCTGCAGCTGGGGCACCTGGCCAGGGCGCACGGCGAGTACCGCGCGCTGCTGCCGCCGGGCAGCGCCTCCCTCGAGCTCCTGCGCGAGCGCTTCCACGAGGTCGCCGTGGACGCGGAGGAGGACCTGCACGGCCGCCTGCGGCACGCCGCCCTGCCCTCGGCGGTGCGCCGCGCCGTGCTGCAGTGCCGCGAGGCCTGGGACCTGCCCCCGGGCCTGGCGCCCGAGGCAGGCCAGGCCACAACGAGGGGGAGCTGTGGCCCTCACCCCCCCCTGGGGGACCCCTCGATCTCGGCACCCCTCTCGAGGGATCGCCGATGCGATGGGTTCCCCCAGGGGGGCAAGGACCACAGCTCCCCCCGTTGTGGCCTGGCGCCCGAGGGCTGGGTGGACCCCTTCGCGCCCTCGGAGGAGGCCGCCGTGGAGCGCCTGGCGCCGGCCGTCGAGGCCGAGCTCGGCGCGAGGGTGCCCCAGTGCGAGACGCAGGCGGCAACGGGGAGGGAGGGCGGCGTGCGCCCGGAGTCTCGGACCTCGCCCTCCTCCTCCTCCTCCTCCTCCTCCTCCTCCTCCACCTCCTCCACCTCCTCCTCCTCCTCCTCCTCCTCTCCTCCTCCACCTCCACCTCCTCCTCCTCCACCTCCTCCTCCTCCGCCTCCTCCTCCTCCGCCTCCTCCTCCTCCTCCTCCGCCTCCTCCTCCGCCTCCTCCTCCGCCTCCTCCTCGTCCTCCTCCGCCTCCTCCTCCTCCTGGGCTGTGCGGAGCCCTCGGATCCTCGCTGAGGTTTTAGCCTTGATCGCCAGAAAGAACTTCGAACACCAGAAAAACAGCATGCCAAAGCCCAAGGGTTTTCACGTATCGGGCCCTGGGAGACATTCGTTCGACACCGTTTCGACACTATATCGACACTCTTTTGACACTTTTCCGGGTGCTCGAAATCATTTTTGGGATGTGGGCCTGAAGTACGACGGGGGCAACATAAGCTGAGGGCTCCTGGCGCGCGGAGCGCCCGGCGCCGATCTCAGAAGTCCGCGCGGACCTCCGAGTGTTTATGCTTGTGCCACTGTTCGTTACCCCTAGTGTGGCCCTCAGAAGGAAGGGTCTTGCGCTAAGTCGGGCCTGTCCCTCTACGGTAGGAATCTCAGAAGAAAGTCCCCCAGAACAGTCTGGGGACGATCTTGGTGTTGTTTTCTGACTACCTTGGGGTGCTTTTGCTGCGTCCTCCTGCTACACGGCTCTGTCGGCCTGCTGCTCCTCCAATCAGGAGGGAAAGAAACACACAGACACAATTAATCGTCGACTCCCAGGAAAATATGGGAAAATATGGGAAGTGGATGGGAAGACAAAAACCCAGAAAATATGGGAAAATATGGGGAATAATTTTATGTGTGTGTATTTATTTGTGTGTCCTTGGGCCCCTTCATCCAAGGCGGCCTGCGACGCGCTGGAGGCCGACGTCGAGCTGGAGCTCGCGGGCCGGCCGAGCCCCCTGCGCGGGGCGCTGCGCCGGGTGCGGCGGGGCCTCCTGGACGGCACCGCGCTGGCGGTGCAGACCGAGTTCGGCTGGCCGCCCGAGGGCCTCCCGGCGCGGATGGCCGAGGCCGGGCGGTGGTGCCCGCCGTGGCGGAGAGTGGAGAGGAAGAAAGACGCCACGGCCGAGTCGCCTGTTTTCTTTGCACATTCCGAGTGTTCGAAGAAGTAGTCCAGAAATAGTCTTGGGACGCTGTTGGATCATTCTTGGTCCATTGGGGAGGATTTCTTGCGTATTTAGAGAATTTGTCGCCCCCAAATCCGCCTGTAGGGGGACAGGCCCGACCTAACGCCATCAACATAAACTTTTGGCGCTCCGCGCGGATTTCTTGGATCCGCGCTGGACCCCCCCGGCGGCGCCTCCTCCGGCGCCGCCCCTGGCGCGCTCCGCGCGCCAGGGAGGGGGGGTCCAGCGCGGATCCAAGAAATCCGCGCGGAGCGCCAAAAGTTTATGTTGATGGCGTTTTTTCTTCTTCTAGGAAAGGGGTCCTGCCGACGAGGGCACTCGCGATGGCAAGTGCTCGGAGGCGGCACGGTGCATCGAGGCTGTGTGTGTGTGTTGTGTGTGTGCTTGCGTCGTGGCCAGGATCGTGGCCACCCTCGTCTTTTCCCCCCTCTTGCATGCCAATGTGCTTTCGGTTGCCCTGGGTAGCCACACGCTGCAGCGGACTGCCTCTGCTTCGCCGCCGACGAAAAAAGTGCCGTGGCCAGGCACAGGTTGGCTCGCAGTCTTGATCGCCCGTGAATGCAGGCCCAGTGTCGGCGGGTCCTGCCGTTCTTTGTTTTCCCGTTCTCCCCCCGTGTTCTGGCCTCGGGACCCTCGACGGGCCCCCGGGGCCGCCAGAAAACGGCTCTGGAGGAAGAAGCTGGTCCCGTGGGGGGAAGTCCTGGGGTCTAGCGGCCAAGGCGCTTGAACGATGGCCGCGTTGGGCTCCGGTTTTGGGCTGCTCCTAAAATCTTTGGGTCGGGGAGCCTTGCTTGTGGCCGAGGCTCGGCGTGGCCATAACAGGTTCCTCGCTCCTTGTTCGGCGCCCTTCCTGGCAATGGCTGTAGGACCCGGTCCCCTGGCGACGCCACTTCTTTACGCCAAGGTCCGACGACCACCGAGGGTGTAGTTACGCTGGGGTGTGGTTTGCGATCGGCGTCGTTGGGGCTTGGGGTGCACAACGCTGCCCTCGTCGGGCCTCCTCGGGGCGAGGCGGAGAACTCCGTCGAGATCCTCGCCCGCCGCCCAGCGTGCGGACTGCAAACCGCACCCTGTGCAAGCCACACCCTTCGGAGTCCGTTCTCCTCCTCCTCCTCCTCCGCCTCCGCCTCCGCCTCCGCCTCCTCCTCCTCCTCCTCCTCCTCCTCCTCCTCCTCCTCCTCCTCCTCCCTCCTCCTCCTCCTCCCTCCTCTCTCTTCCCTCCTCCTCTCCTCTCCTCTTCCCTCCTCCCCTCTTTCCCTCCTCCCTCTTCCCTCCTCCCTCCTCCTCCTCCTCCTCCTCCTCCTCCTCCTCCTCCTCCTCCTCCTCCTCCTCCTCCTCCTCCTCCTCACCTCCTCCTCTCCTCCTCCTCCTCCCCCTGCTCGGAGTCGCCGAAGGTACGCCACCGAGCTGGGCAGGGGCAACCCCCGCCTGGAGGACCTCCTGGCCGCCACCGAGCGCGCGCTGCGGCGCGCCGAGGCGGCCGCCGCCGCCGAGCTGGCGCCCCACCAGGCCGAGCTCGACAGGGTGCGCGGGCTGATCGGCGCGGACCCTCCGCCGCTGAAGCTCGTCCTGAACGGCCTGCTGGAGGAGCTCGGAAAAGAGAAGGAGTGGGAGGGAGAGGGGGAGGGGGAGGGGAGGAGGGGGAGGGGGAGGGGGAGGGGGAGGGGAGGGAGGAGGAGAGGAGAGGAGGAGGAGGAGGAGGGAGGAGGAGGAGAGGAGGAGAGAGGAGGGAGGAGGAGGAGGAGGAGGAGGAGGAGGAGGAGGAGGAGGAGGAGGAGGGAGGAGGAGGAGGAGGAGGAGGAGGAGGAGGAGGAGGAGGAGGAGGAGGAGGAGGAGGAGGAGGAGGAGGAGGAGGAGGAGGAGGAGGAGGAGGAGGGGGAGGAGGGGGAGGGAGGACCGTCGCACGGATGAAGGAGGGGTTCGGCAGTTCTATTACTGCTGCTGCTGCTGCTGCTGCTGCTGCTGCTGCTGCTGCTGCTGCTGCTGCTGCTGCTGCACCCACTCCCCCCCCCCGGTCGGTTGGCCTGGGGCAGCGGCAGTGGCGGCGGTGGGAGCAGCCTCCTCCTCCAGCTCCGCCAGCTCTTGGGCCCGGCGCTGGAGGTACTGGCGGAGCGGCATCTGGCGCTCGGATTCGATCGGAGCGTCCTTGGTGCCTCGCGGGTGCCTGCCACTCATCAGGAGATTTCATTGGGTCCGACCTCCTGGTCTAGCAAAACGAGTGCTGCACACGGCACCTAATTAGGGATACGGCGTTTGACTCCCAAAACTTGCCACCACGACGACAAGCTAAGAGGAAAGACCCTCCTCTCCGCTGCTCTGCAGCATGCAGCGAGCGTCCTTGAGGGCTAGCGGCTGGCACGCAAACCTGCGAGCCGTTGGGCGAAACCTGGGCAGAGACCGGACTTCTTGGTGGCCGATCTCGCTCGGCTGTCTATTCAAAAATACCTCTTCCCTGAAGCCTCCCACCTGTGCACCCGACACTCCCCCCGATCTCTGAGGGGACGGGAAGGCGTGGGAGGAGGCAGGATTGAGGAGCAGTCTGGCCCCTGACGTTGGCGACAGAGGCAGCTCCAACTGGAGGCGAAATAGACTTGGCTGGCCTGGCGAAAGCCGTTTTTGTCGTGCTGGGTCCCAGCGGGGGCCATTCTTGAAGAGCACGCGTCACGCACAGTGACCGCTTGCTGAGCAGCTTGCGCTGGTCTGAGAAACTATCTGCTTCGGCGTCTGAGGGTCTGTTGAAAGCACGCGAGGCGATTCCAGCAACACGGTCGGCCCAGTGGTTGCCCATGGCCGCGGCCCACTCTGGGCACCCTTCGGGATGGGCGTGGAGGCTCTGGTGAGTCTTGACCTTGGACAGCCTGAGACTCGGATGCCAGCCGATCGCCGCTCTTGCGAGCAGACCGATCCCAGCGTATCGGTTCCGCCGATACAGTCGTGTGGCGTACAGGTCTGAGATGCCTTGATCGTCAGCTGAGATCTTTGTGATTCTGGAGGAGGAGGTGGCAGCAGCAAGCACAGCACAGTGCTCAGCAGCAGGAGAGGACTGAGGGAGGAGACGGCCGACTTGGCCCGTTGAAGCGGCGATGACTTCGCCAACGTCGTTTGTCTGGGCCACGGTCCAGCCTGCGGTTTCGTATGTAGAATAGTCTGGCTTGAGGGGAGGGGGAAGGAGGAGGAGGAGGAGGAGGAGGAGGAGGAGCAGGAGGAGCAGGAGGAGCAGGATGATGAGGAGGAGCAGCAGGAGGAGGAGCAGCAGGAGGAGGAGGAGCAGGAGCAGGAGCAGGAGGAGCAGGAGCAGGAGCAGGATGAGGAGGAGGAGGAGGAGGAGGAGGAGGAGGAGGAGCAGGAGGAGGAGGAAGAGGAGAGGATTGGAGCCGAGCGGGGATCCGAGGTGGCCCCGCAGTGGTGCCGGCCAGCTGGAGGGGGGGGGGGGAGGAGGAGACCCGAGGCGCAGGGGTTGCCGAGGGCTTTTCGGGACTTCCTCGGCCTCCGCGGCGCGCTCCCCGTTTCAGGTTCCAGCATCGCCCTGGAACGGCAGGTCGGCCCCTCGTCCGTGGCCGTGCCCTCCAGGACCGCTCGTGGGGCCGCTGGGCTTCGTCTCGCGCCCCGTCCTCTGTGGGTGCCGCTCGCCTCTCTAGTGATGGCGAAAGGGCGAGCTTGCAGTCTTCAGTGCATGCTGGGTCGAAAAATAAGAATCACCCTGGAACGGTTCCGGGGTGAACATTGGAACCTGGAGCGGGTGATTTTCCATCTGGGCGCTCTCAGGAGCCTCGTGGGCGCCTCTCGCGGAGGGGGGGAAGGTGGCAATTTTCCAAATGAGATCTCTTATTGGGGAGTTTGTTTTTCGCGGCTGGGCCCTCCCGCTCAGCGTCGGGAGGTCCCAGATGGATTTTCACCCGGGAACCGCTCCAGGGTGAAAATCCATTTGGATCCCCCCCCCCCAGCGCAAAACGGCTCTCTCGGGGATGGGGGGGTGTGCGCGAGCTCCCAAAATGGCATTTTTCCACATGAAATCTTTTTTGGGGGAGCTTGTTTTTCGCGGGTGGGCCCTCCCGCTCAGCGTCGGGAGATTCCAGATGGATTTTCACCCCGGAACCGTTCCAGTGTGAAAATTCACTTGGACCCCCACCCGAGCGTCCAAAATGGCAATTTTCCACACGAAATCTCTGATTGGGGAGCTTGTTTTTCGCGGCTGGTCTCCTGCTCAGCGTCGGGAGGTCCCAGATAGATTTTCACCCCGGAACCGTTCCAGGGTGAAAATCCATCTGGACCCCTCCCCCAGCGCAAAACGGCTCTCTCGGAGATGGGGGGGGGAGTGCCCGAGCTCCCGAAATGGTAATTTTCCATATGGAATCTCATTTGGGGGAGTTTGTTCTTCGCGGCTGGGCTCTCCTCCCGCTCAGCGTCGGGAGGTCCCAGATGGATTTTCACCCCAGAAAGTTCCAGTGTGAAAATCCATCTGGACCCCCCCCAACGCAAAACGGCTCTCTCGGGGATGGGGGGTGTACGCGAGCTCCCAAAATGGCAATTTTCCGCATGAGATCTCTGTTGGGGGAGCTTGTTTTTCGCGGCTGGGCGCTCAGCGTCGGGAGGTCCCAGATGGATTTTCACCCGGGAACCGCTCCAGGGTGAAAATCCATCTAGACCCCCCCAGCGCAAGACGGCTCTCTCGGGGATGGGGTGGAGTGCACTCCAGCTCTCGAAATGACAATTTTCCAAATGACATCTTTTTTGGGGGAGCTTGTTTTTTCGCGGCTGGGCCCTCCCGCTCAGCGTCGGGAGGTCCCAGGTGGATTTTCACCCTGGAACCGTTCCAGAGTGAAAATCCATCTGGGACCCTTTTCCAGCGCAAAACGGCTCTCTCGGGGATGGTGGGGGAAGCGTACCTGACCCCCCCCGAAATTGCCATTTTCCAAATGAAATCTCATATTGGGGAGCTGTTTTTTCGCGGCTGGGCCTTCCCGCTCAGCGTCGGGAGGTCCCAGATGGATTTTCGCCCCGGAACCGTTACAGGATGAAAATCCATATGGAACCCTCTCCCAGCGCAAAACGGCTCTCTCGGGGATGGGGAGTGTGGGGAGCTTGTTTTTCGCGGCTGGCCCCCCCCGCTCAGCGTCGGGGTGTCCCAGATGGATTTTCACCCCGGAACCGCTCAAGTGTGAAAAATCCATCTGGGTCCCTCTCCCAGCGCAAACCGGCTCTCTCGGGGATGGGGGGGAGTGCACCCGAGCCCCAAAAATTACAATTTTTCAAATGAATTCTCAGATTGAGGAGCTTGGTTTTCGCGGCTGGGCCCTCCCGCTCAGCGTCGGGAGGTCCCAGATAGATTTTCACCCCGGAACCGTTCCAGCGTGAAAATCCATCAGGACCCCTCCCCCAGCGCAAAACGGCTCTCTCGGGGATGGGGGGAAGTGCACCCGAGCCCCCGAATGGCAATATTCCAAATGAAATGTCTTATTGGAGAGCGCTTTTTTCTCGCGGCGGCAAGGAACCCCAAAAACTCATTCTTGAAGGAGCTCAATAAGGCCTTCTGTAATTAAGAAGCTCAATAAAGCATCCTCGAAGGAGCCCAATGAGGCCTTCTGTAAGGAGCGCAATAAGGCCTTCGGAGCGGAAAAGGGCCTTCTGCAAGGAGCGCAATAAGGCCTTCTGTAAGGAGCGCAATAAAGGCCCCCTTTCTGCAAGGAGCGCAATGAGGCCTTCTGTAAGGAGCGCAGTAAGGCCTTCTGTAAGGAACTCAGAGAGGCCTTCTGGGAGGAGCTCTGAATGGCTCCAGATGTGTTTTCACCCCGGAACGGTTCCAGGGTGATTCTGGAACCTGGACGCGGTCAGTGTCAAGCTTCCAGAATCACCCGGGAACGGTTCCAGATGATTCCAGAACTTGAAACGGTGGATTTTCCCTCCCTCGGGCCCCGCATGACAGTCCAAAAACTGCTCCATGACTGCGCCAGAGAAATAAGCTGCGGGAGGGGTCCGGGGAGCGGTTGCGAGCGGATGTGGCTGTATCCTCCCCCCCCCCCCGCCCCTTGGCCGCTTTCCTACCCCCCGCCGCGAAACTGAACGCAAGTTTAGCCGACCCCCCCTGGCCCCCAATTGCAATGTTTGGCTGCGCGCGCGGCGCGGGGCGCGGGCGCCGCTCGGACAATTTGAAACCACGCGTCTCGACATCAGCAGCGACGTTTGGGGGTCTGGGGGCGCCAGCGCGGCGCGGGAAAACTCGCGCTCAGTTCCGCGGGGGGTGTCTAAAACAGGGCCAGGATCGGGATAAATCGCTCCAGAGCGTTCCGGAGCGCTCTCAGAGCGTCCCGGAACGCTCTGGAGCGGCCGCGGCGCCCAATGCGTCCTCCAAACCCGCCGCCCCTCAGAGATTTCGAGTTCTCCCGATCCGATGTTGTCCCGATCTTCGCGTCATGTGGGGGCCCGGCCGGCTCCGGCCCCCCGGGGCCGCCTCGAAGGAGGAGGGCACGGCCACGGAGGCTTCTGGAGGCCCGCCGCGCGGGCCCTCGGGGGAGGCCCGCGCGGGCCTCCGGAGGATCTCTGCTCGTGCCGCTCGCTCTTGGTCTTCGGTCGGGCCTGTCCCTCTACAGGGGGAATCGCCAAAAATTATCGGCCCCAACAGTCAGGGGACGATTCTTGGAACATTTTTTCTCATTCTTTGGGAGTTTTTGTTGTGACTATATTTGTGAGCTTTCGTCCAAAGTCCGCCTGTAGGAGGACATGCCCGACCGAACATCTTGGTCCAGGAGAGCAGCGTTGTCCGCGCCTCGGCCCATTCCCCTGCAGCGCGGTCGGCTGCGCTCGTCGAGCAGGCGACCGACTGCAGATTCGATTCACCCCGCAGTTTAGCTTCAAGTCGGGCGTGTCCCTCTACAGGAGGAATATTCGAAAATAGTCCAAACATAGTTGGGGGACGATTTTTGTTTTAGTATTTCTGACTGTCCTGGAGTATTTTTGAATATGTTTTATTCTTCGTCCAGAATGCGCCTGCAGGGGGACACGCCCGACCTGAGTTTCGCTGCTTGTCGACACCCGGCAAAAGGATACGTAGCATGTCCGCAGAACAGCGCGGCGTCGACATCTCTTCCTAGCTCCGGCGAACGAATCAATCCTACAACCCTCGTCAAAAATAAACTGAGGGATTATGTTTTCGGTGATTGTATGGTCAGCGCTACTCCAATGCTGACGCTAGATATCTGACGTGGGCGCAAGGGCTTCAAAAATCCGACGACCCCGCCGCAGCATTGAAGAACGCAGTTTCTAACAAGTGCCCGAGAAGATCGACCGTCGTGATTTCCAACTTCGTTTCTGTTTATTTTTGACGAGGCTTGTAGGGTCGGCAAACCGATTCTGTGGTCGATCTCCTGCTCAACTCCGGTCGGTCCAGACCGGCCGGCTGCCGCGTCGCTGCCGTCGGCAGCCCTGACACGGGGGTCCATGCAGACAGGGGCCAGCCAGAGCGCCCGATCTTGCAGGATCCTGCAGGGGCCAGGGTCGCACTGGCCCGGGCTCGGGCCCAGGATCCTGCAGGATCCTGCGCCCTGACCCGGGCCTGGGCGCAGGATCTGGCAGGATCCTGCAGGATTCTGCAAGGCCTGACTGGCCCGGGTCTGGATGGACCTGGGTCAGAAGATCCCCGACGCCATGCCGCCGCGCCGCCGCGACTCCGCCTGCACGACCGCCTGCGGCGGGGCCCGGCCCTGCGGCCTGCCTCGGCCTCGCTGTCGTCTCGGCCAGCCTCTTTCCGGGGGCGGCCACGAGGGGGGTGATGACCAGGGCGGGGGGGGATGTCATGGCGTGGGCCGCGCTACTTCCCCAGATGCTGTGGCGCCTCTGCTTGTTTCGTTACGCTCCCTGGCCCACCGCTGGGCCGCGCACGTGCCTCGGGCCATGGTTTGCACACACGGGGGCGCCCTCGAGGGCGCGCAGTTATTCGCGCTTCGCGCCTCGCGGTTCGGCTCCGATTCCTCCTCATCCTCCTCTTCTCCCCTGGGAGGCGGCGCGAGAGCGCGATGTTGGGAGCCCTTGCGCACACACCCCTCTTGGACGCCCCCCTCTTTCGGCCGCTCCCGCCTCCTGGCCGCGGCCGCCGCCGTGGACGGCCCCAGGCATCCGACGGCGCGGTTGCTTCGACCCGCGGCCCTGGCGTTACGTCGGGCGCGCCCCTCGACAGGAGGAAGGTACAAAAGCAGTAAACAAATCGTCGGGGGACGATCTTGTGTTGGTATTTGGGAGAGTTCTGGAGTACGTGTCTATGTCTTCTTCTTCCCGCAAGGTCCGCCTGCAGGGGGACATGCCCGACCTAGTGATTGCTTCTGGTTGCATCGACCCGCGGCCCCGGAGGTCCCAGCGGTCTCCTCCCTCGGGGTCGGCGTCTCGTCCCGCGGACCCGCTCACGGCGGTCTTCGGGGCCCGAGAGCGCGCCCGCGAGGCCGCACCGTCGAGGAAGCACGCCGGGGAGAGGGCGGAGGTATCGAAGTGGAGTGGGGCAATGAATGTTTTCAGCGAGCGAAGAACGGTACATAATAGACTTTTTCGCCGTCGGGGGCACCTGCCCCTGGGCGGCTGGAAAGTTCATACCCCGACGGTGGCATTATATCCCGCTCTTCGCCCGTGAAAATATTGCATGGAACCATATAGGAGGCTGTTTATGGGGGTGTTCGGCGATAACCCTGGGTGGTCGGGATCCAGCGCCCCCCCCTCCCCCCCGGATGGTCTCACCCTGTCGGTTGAGCAGGTCCAGCCGCATCCTTCGGCATTCCCAGACGGCGCCCGCATCGTCGCATCACGTATAGTAGCATCGTCGCAGCATCTTTAGCAGCTATAGGGGCCGCAGCACTGGTGCGCACGGGCACGTATGTGGGGCTGCCCACAGCGCGAAGGTTTGGTTATCGGCCGGCCCCTCCCCCCCCGGATAACCTGGGCTACAGCCGATCCCCAGAGAACAGCCTTTGGGGTGGAGGACATATGGTGCACTTCTATTGGTGGTAAGCCTTTGGTGCCCACTCTTGATTCTTGAAATCGAAAAAAAAACAAAAACACGTAAACATAAACTTTTGGCGCTCCGCGCGGATTTCTTGGGTCTGCGCTGGGACCCCCCTGGCGGCGCCTCCGGCGCCGCCCCTGGCGCGCTCCGCGCGCCAGAGAGGGGGGGCCCAGCGCGGATCCAAGAAATCCGGGCGGAGCGCCAACAGTTTGTGTTCATGGCGTTTTCTCTTCTTCCACGAGAGGCTTCAGGCTTCAGGCTTTCATGATGCCCACCCCCGTCCCGTCCGCGCGGCCTGCGCACCCCTCCCCCGATGGCCGGGGGGCGGGTGGACGGGCCGGCACCCCTCTCGCGTCGCACGTCGTACGCCAGGGGTGGTGGGGGGTTCCGCAAGGGATCATGTCAGCGGAGCCCTGGGGCCTCGCGAGGAGCTGGAGGAGCGGCTGGTGGCAGCGGCGGAGGTCCTCGGCGACTGGCGGGCGCGGCTCGGCACGGAGTGCCAAGGTCGGCGGCCACAAAGGGTGTGGCTACGCCCGGGTGTGGTGTGCGAGCTGCGCCGTTGGAGCTTTTGGGGGGCTGAGGAGGAGGAGGAGGAGGAGGAGGAGGAGGAGGAGGAGGAGGAGGAGGAGGAGGAGGAGGAGGAGGAGGAGGAGGAGGAGGGAGGAGGAGGAGGAGGAGGCGGAGGAGGAGGAGGAGGAGGGGCTGGGAGGAGGAGGAGGACCGCTGGGGTGGTATGGTTTGCGACCTGCGCCGTTGGGGCTTCTGGGTGTGGCACCACGGTGCCCTCGTCGGGCCTCCGCGGGGCCCTCCGCGGGGCCTGGCGGAGCACTCTGCCGCGGCCCTCGCCCGGCCCCCCAGGGTGCGGGCTGCAAGCCGCGCCCTCTGCAAGCCACACCCAGGAGTCGGCCTTCCTCCTCCTCCTCTCCTCCTCCTCCTCCCCTCTCCTCCTCCTCCTCCTCCTCCTCATCCTCCTCCCTCCTCCCTCCTCCTCCTCCTCCTCCTCCTCCTCTCCTCTCTCCTCCTCCTCCTCTCCTCCTCCTCTCCTCCTCCTCCTCCTCCTCCCCTCCTCCTCCTCCTCCTCATCCTCCTCCTCCTCCTCCTCCTCCTCCTCCTCCTCCTCCCCCCTCCCCCTCCTCCCTCATGCCTCCTCCCTCCTGGTCTCCTCCCTCCTCGCCTCCTCGCCTCCTCCCTCCTCGACTCGTCGCCTCCCTCCCCTGACCTCGCCGACGAGGGCTGCTCCGCTCTGCGCGCCAGCTGCTCGGGCGGGACCGCTTCCTGGCCGAGTGCAGGGGGGAGGCGGCGCAGGCCGCCGGGGAGCTGGCGGCGCTGGGGCCCCGCTCGAGCCGCGAGCCGGCGGCGAGGGCTCGCTCGCGGCTGTCGGGGGAGGAAAGAACATGGGCACGATCTAACATGTGTGCACAAAGACCGACGGCTCAAGCAGCGGCGAAACGTCCTGGCTTGCCTATAGGCCTACCCAGGCAATGTTCTAAGAACCGATTGCGCTTTATACGACATGTTCTTGAGATATTTCTGGCTGACTGTCTCGCTTTAACACGTCGGGTCGATGTTCAAAGAGCAATGTTTTTGTCATGTTGAATGTTTTCGGGTTCCAAGAATATTTCGTGGTAGGCCTACAGGAATGCCGGGACGGTCGGTCCCTGCTCAACAGGACATGGGCACGATTATCACATTGGGCACAAAGACCGACACACCTTTTCTCCTTCGTCGCCGTCTCTTCCTTCTCCTCCATGGCTTGTGCATCGCATGGTGGAGTCCCCTTGCCCTCAGTGTCGGGCCGAACGAAAGGGGGAGATAGGGAAAGGGGGGTTACGAAATCTGCTGCATGCAGCTGGTTTCGGCCCGACCCGACAGTGGGGAAGCTCGCAATGCTCATCATCGCTGCGTTGACAGCAGCTCCTGTTCGTTTTGGGCAGGACTCACTCTTGGTGTCGCCGCGGGCGGTGCCCCTTTGAGACTGAGCGTCGCCTGCCCAACAGCGGCCGCTGCCGGTTTTGGACAACAGGTGTTGGGCCTCGCGCCCAGCTTCCCATGATTCTTCATCTCGGGCGCCCAAGAGAAGGGGACACCCAGATCTCCAGCGACGTGTTGCTTCTGCTGGCGGGTTTTGTTCTTCAATTTCGGCCCTGGGGGGCCACTGTCCGGCCCCGGGGGCCATCCGAGAAGGATCCGGAACGAAGAGCTGCGCCCCCCGGGGGTGGCGGTGCGGACCTCCTCGGGGCCGCGGGCGGAAACAACGCCAGGCCGGCGGAGGTCAGAGCACCGATCCCAGACATCTGGATAAGGTAGGGTTTTTCTCGTTTGGGTGATCGTTTTCTTATTCGCTGTTTTGCTGGCGCCCTCCCCCCGCCGCAGGGTGCCTCGCTAGACGTGGCGGACAGAGCGTGGAGCTCAAAAATCTGATTCGTTGTTTTCCGGATTGGCGCGGGCCTTCGCCCCCCCCCCCTCTTTCTCCCCTGCGTGGAGTAGATTTTGGCTGTCTTTGGTGCCTGTTTCGAGCGGGTGGAGTCTCCCCCAGAGGCCGCACTCTTGCAAACAGTAGCACTAAGCAGAGTTCCGGAGCCAGACCCCCCCCCCCCTTCAGTTCAATGTCGAAACGCCGAATAAGAAAAAAACTCACATAAGGTCAGGATTTCTCTTGTTTTGCCATCCG